AAAATTTTCGAAATCTTAAATTTTGAAGTTAGACCCGAAAAAATCGTATCAGTTCATCCTATATTTATATCTGTTTATGATCCTTTGTTTGTTATATCGAATTAGAGCAAATAGCTTGTGCGGTCCAAAAGGTGTACCTGGCAGAAATCGACTTTTTGAGAGAAACTCATATAATTAATTGTATGACTTCTCTCAAAAAGTTGAAGGTAGGTATCGCCTTTTGACTCGCAGTTTATTATCCAAGAACCATCAAATTAATTGAAAACATGTTTACTAAGATAATATTGTCTCTTCTTTGGTGGTAATATAGTTTCAACATCAAACAAACTAAATATAAAATTATGTATTTTGAGATTTGGACTTTACAAGGAATTCTCAATAGCAAAATGTTGTATTTCTGAAGCATTTAATTTTTACAAATCCATGGTTATTCGCACACGTATTAATTTCAATCACTCATAATCCTTTTCTAAATCCAATTTCTCTTTTTTGGATAGTAGCTTAGATGCATAAGGCAATTACGACCTTCTTCATTTTTGTTCTTGAGGACTGATTCATGAAATATTGACCCATTCTGATACAAAAATTTGGATCCACTTTTATTTTATTTTAAAATTTTAAAAATAATACATTAAAAGGATTATCCAATAAACTAAATGATTTAGACAATCTGACTGGTGTAAAATATTTCAAAATTCATTCTGAATAGATCCGCTTTCAAATTTAAATCATTGTGAATGTCCTGGTTTTACTATACAATCACCAATGGTATTAATTAACAGAACAGGAGATTATTTAATTGACATTGGTTCATATGGTCAAGATATTACTTTTTCATTTGCAGATAACAAATCATTTTAGTTATTTTTATTCTACAAGATACATATATGAGCGATTACTTGCGTATTAACTATGAATCATGCACAAGCAAAATATGGAAAATCACAGAGCCAACTTTTAATTTTAAATCAACAAACACGTTTATAATTATAAAGTAAGATTTTTGTGTAGTTTCTTTTCCAAATTACTGC